CCCCCCCCCCCCCCACCTTTTTCAGTTGCTGGATATTACACTCTATAAAGGATTTATGCGAAAAATTTATGTTTTTACGGGGTGTTTAATTTATTGCGGAAAGACACACTCACACACACACACACACACAAATATATTATTTTTTCTTACTAACAACTTAAAAGATATGATAATTTTAAGATGTTTCATCAAAAGTTAAAACTGCGAAATCCAACAAACCTGTTCTGACTCCCGCGGCTGGCAATAACAAGACCCCCCCAAAATACCTGCCGCGACGATTGTCCGGTCATAGCTATTTATAGCCCACAGCAGACGAGAGGATTTTCCTCTGGCACTGACGGTTCCAAGGCGAGCTGTCGTGCCGTTCGGCCCGTCCCCTGCCACTGTGGCTGGTCGCGCCACACATTGGTTAAAGGAATGAATTGAAGCGTCAGGGAATCGAACGCTGTCAACGCGGGTTGTGAATTCCGAGGAATTGTCCGGGTGATTATGTCGGCACGTGCTTTGTGGTGGTGACGCGGTAGATGAACTTGAATAAGGATTAAATGTGCCTAATTGACTGAAACTGACTCTACACATGTAAGTTAACGGGTATATATGATTTCTTTTAAAATAGGTTAACTTTTTTTTTTTTTTAATGAAATATATTATTACCAATACTATAGAGGTTTGAGTTCAGAGATAGGACCTGCCGCGAATCAACCCTGAACTGCGTGGACTATGTCGCATATTTCAGCAGTTCAATGTGTACACATCGGGTGGATGCTGTACTTACAGACCCGTGGACGGGACGCTGAGGGTTTGGGGGGGGGGTAGAGGCAGTTGGGAAAAAAATAACGGCAGAGTGAGCACAAGAGTGAAGCTTAACATCGAATGGGTTAAGCTCACCACTGTAAATGAAACTGTCGAAATGTGCACTTTACAATGGACGATTTAACACAAAGACACACACACAAGCGCACAAAATAAATGAACAGTGACCTTGCTAAAACTTCATGCGTTTAGAGAAACGATTGACCATTGTAAAATTTCAATATTTTGCGATAAAACATTTTTACATCCCCAAATGAGTCAACTTTACACATCGTCGTTAATTTACGACCGCGTCGTTCTTCTTCTTTTTTTTTTTTTTTTTTTTTTAGCCTTTTAGGTATCTCTCACTCAAGATGGTCTTAGAGGCGTAAATAGCAAGCTAAATGATTGTGATATCTATTTTCACCTGGAACCATTTCAGCTATTTCTAGCTTATATAAAGTTTCCTGGGGGAGAAAAGTTACTTTCTAAATTGTGCTCCCTTCGCGGACAGAAGACGCACGAAATAATAAGCCTACTCCGCGGACTTGAAGTGAACATAATCCCATTCCAAGAAACGCTGCATAGTATGGGCCGTTTCATTTTTAACTGGCTATTCACCTTGCTACTGCAAATGCACCGGATCTCGCTGTTGAGATCGTAGAAGCGAAGAGCTGCAGCATCAACGATGCTCTCATCGTGAGAGTGTTCAAGGAGGACGTAGCTTTTATAGCGACGAACGTCTATCAATACACCCTGGAAACCCTGCCACCCGACTATTGGGAGGTAACATGGTTTTCAGCAAAAGCATTTGGGCAGGGGGACTTTCAAACGCACAGTTAGACGACTGGGGACGTTCGGAACGAAATGCGTCGGGATGATCAATTGAGAGCTTAGGCTCAACTTTACAATAGAGGGGATCATTAGTTTATATTGTGGGCTTGAAGTAAGTTTTGGGTTAGATCCCCTTCACGTTAATCACCTCAGAATTTTCGTTAAAAAGATAAGTTCTCTTTTTTTTTTATGCCTATAGATGTGCTTCCACCTGATCTGACCACAGCTCCACCATGACTACAACAACACCGCTGTCTTCCTTCCTCACCGCCTCCACCTGCTCCACCACGACGCTCACCTCTTCTATTTTCGGAGACAGCGGGCAGAAGAAAAGCTTCCTGGACCGGACGTTGAACTTCCGGACGAGCATCGGTCGATACTTCCTCCTCGTCCTGATCCTCACCGCGGGATTTATCCCCGCTGTCATACTGCTCGCACAAAACATCGTGATCGTGTTCAAAGCCGTGAAAAACTTGGACAAGAATAATTTGGTCCAAACCAACATCGAGTCCGCCTTGTTGATCAAAGACTTGCTGCACGACATCCAGCTGGAGCGGGGGCACTCCGCGCTCTACCTGAGCTCCGACGGCGAGATTCGCACGCGGGATGACATGCTGAGGTCGAGGCTGAACGTGGATGATATCTTCATGGCCTTGAAGTCGTGGCCGAGGTCGCTGTTGTCCTACCCGGGGACAGTTCCGAATAAGACAGCGGTTCGCGTTGACCTGATGACCTTCCGCCACAGCATTGACACCAGGGTGGTGGACGAGTATGGCGTGGTGCAGTTTTATAGGTAAGGCTGGGGAGATGTCTGGTTGATATCACCTGTCTGAGAGCGGTCAATGGCCAAAGAGATGGTCAGAAAGTTTCCAACAAGTCGTTTTTTTTTTTTACATTTTACCCCACTTTTCTTTAACGTGAATTGAGTCTGTTTGTTTGTTTCTTGTTTCGGTGTAGTAATAAAGGGGAGAGACTGCAATCAGGTTATTGGGTTGTGGGGCATTGGGTTGTGAGATTTTGGGTTGTGAGACATTGGGTTGTGAGACATAGGGGGGGGGGGGGGGGGGGGGGGGGGGGGGGGGGGGGGGGGGGGAGAGATATGAGCGAAACAAAATATGGGAAAACCTGAAAAAAAATTCGTTCATTTTATTATATATAAATTGCACCACATGAAATACTCCGAAATTGGAGTAAAATATGACTGACGTTGTCTATTTACTTCACATATGATTTTCACACAGATCTATTGAATAAGTAATCCGATGCTATAAGATGTACGGCAAGAGCCTATCTTCTATTTAACACATATTTCTTCCATTCTCACTTATCTCCTTCTACGCTTCTGCGCATGACATACCTTAATTAACTTCCTTTTCCCTCTAACTTATAAAAACAATATTATTATCTAAAACAATTAGTATCTATGAATGCTTGCACTGTGACAGTAATGAAAACTCTTCACTCGAACATAGTAATCTGTCAATTTCTAGATTTCAAATCCTCGCAATGGATCTGTTTATATGGTGTTTTGTGTGTTTTTTATGGAAATGCACATTTTTAACATGTTCTTCATGGGTATTTAAGCAATTTAAAGTGTGGGTATGTATGCGAGACGGAGGAATAGGAGAGAGCAAGAAATAACAGGTTAGACAAGAGCAAGAAATGACAGGTTTTGCAAGAGCAAGAAACGACAGGTTGTGCAAGAGCAAGAAATGACACATTGGGCAAGAGCAAGAAATGACAGGTTGTGCAAGAGCAAGAAGTGACAGGTTGTGCAAGAGCAAGACATGACAGGTTGTGCAAGAGCAAGAAATTACAGGTTGTGTAAGAGCAAGAAATGACAGGTCGGGCAAGAGCAAGAAATGACAGGTCGGGCAAGAGCAAGAAATGACAGGTCGGGCAAGAGCAAGAAATGATGGGTTGGGCAAGAGCAAGAAATGACAGGTTGAGCAAGAGCAAGAAATGACAGGTTGAGCAAGCGCAAAAAATGACATAAAGTAAACATTGCTGTTTGGGAAGTTCACTCAATATTTCGAATCCCCATAGCTTGCAAACTATTGAATTTCTAGGGTCGTCTAAATGATATAACATCAGATGGTACAACACTAGATGTTATAGCATTGCATGATATACCATTAGACGATAGAACATTAGCTGATCATGAAGTTGATATTCATCCCTCAATTTTAGTCTGACTCATCATGCTGTTTCGTTAAAACGAGGGGGGGGGGGTTAAAAGTTAAAGGCTTTAAGAACAATTCACGCATGGAAACGCTATTTGATTTCGGTTAACCACGGGTCACGTTTGACCTGACCGGCATATAGTTCATGTAATCACCACGCTAAGAGAATGCCTGCCTTCAGTTACCACCAACCAACTGATGAGCCCCCAATTAAAAAATCTGCGCTGACATGGAAAACAAAATCTCGTCCTCCTTTCAGCTGCCCCAGTAAACATGTTTAACTCACCATCCTCAGCTGCCCAGTAAACATGTTTAACTCACCTTCCAGTTCAAGTACGCTAATCTATCTATATTTTTCCTTTTGCTTTTGTCAACACCATTGGGTTACATCATGATAGATAGAAAAGAGATCGATAAGACCCATCGACCAGCAGCACGTTTAATGACAGCACAAAACGGCTTGCAATCTAGTTCTTTAAAAAATAATACATGTAGCGATCATGAGAGGACAATGAGAGATCAAAGTGAAAGACCAGCGTCGAATCCTTACTGAAATCCTGAGAATTTAGCCATAACAGTTTATTAGAAGTATTAAATTAAAATTGTGTGTGTGCACGATTAAGTAGGGGGTAAAACGACAGCAGCACCAACAACACACACACATTCTGACACACACATAGGCCTATACTCACACACACACACAGGTCTATACTCACACACACACACATGCCTATACTCAAACACACACTGGTCTATACTCACACACACATAGGCCTATACTCTCACACACACATGTCTATACTCACACACAAACAGGTCTATACTCACACACACATAGGCCTATACTCTCACACACACATGTCTATACTCACACACAAACAGGTCTATACTCACACACACATAGGCCTATACTCACACACACACGCGCGCGCTCGATCACATGCACACACACACAAGAGTAGAGACGAGGTGGATTAAAACAGAAAACAGTTCGATGCCCTTTCATCAAACGTCATCTAAAATTGTTATTAATTTGATTTTTTTTCAAAGACACGTGAGTAATCAATTGATTATTGAAGTATCAGATGGGGTTAGAGAGTAAAATATTAGTAGGCCCCTGGCCGTTGGGGCCTGCGGGAATCGTGCACGGGAATGGGTGGGTGTTGGGGGATGGGGTCAGTCATGACCAGAAGATTTAGTTGAATGATAGGTATGTCATTTATAACTCGAGCAGCGTTTCCCAAACTTTTAAGTGTAGGGGACCGGTGGGACACAATTCGAAAACTATACGACTCATGAGAGGCATTGATTTATTTTGGTCTGTCAAGCTCATATAAGTCCTAAATATTTTAGCTCACTTTTGGTTGACTCGATTTCGTATGTATTTTTCCTCACTATTAATGTGTGCCCAGAGGCATGTAAAAATATTTGTTTTTTTCATTTAAAAATCATGGAGAAAATGTTCCAAAACTTACTGAAATCAGGTTAGCAGATTAAAAGGCTTTTTTTTTTTTAAATTCTTAGTACAAGGACACCACTAACAAATTAAATAAAGGCTGCTCTAGTAATCGACATTAAAAGTTGTTTTTTTTTAAATAAAGTCAACCTTGTTCACCAATCACAAACGCGTATTGCAAGTGCCTGCGTTGTTTCATTCATGACGTGTATTCCATAAGGATTAGCCCATTAAGATGCTCTGTCCGGACCATCTTGGCCTCATGGGTTTTTACGGTCTGGTCTATCATGTAGAAAAAACGTTGAAGATGCATTGGACATTGTCTCTTAACTGGCATTTTGTGAACGGTCTAGTCGGTCTCAGCAACTGCAACAACACAATTAAAGCCATCGCGGAGTCGCATCGTTGTTTTCCTCGGTTACAGACACTGTCACATCATCTCCTATAAATTTAAATGAAATTGACCACATCATCAAGTATGACAGTTGAATGCACCACCTGATCTAATCGTTAATTATGCTAACTTTGTTTAACTATTTATTTAACGTTACTACACGGTCTATGGTAAGAACCTAACACCCCCCCCTCGACTAACTTAACCAATCTCCCGACCCCCGACTAACTTACCCAAACTCCCACTCCCACCCTCCGACTAACTTACCCAAACTCCCACCCCCNTTATTCAGCACCAACCTGTAAACCAGTTCTCACAAGTTGATTCAGCACCAACCTCTAAATTATGGTAAACCAGAGCTCACAAGTTGATTCAGCACCAACCTGTAAACCAGTGCTCACAATTCAGCACAAACCTGTACACCAGTGCTCTCAAGTTGATTCAGCACCAACTTCTAAACCAGTTCCACCTAGAAAGCTGCACTGCCCCAACTCATCTCCACCTACATTGCCCGACCCCATTCAACTTACACCGCCCGACCCCATTCAACCTACACTGCCCGACCCCATTCAACCTACCCTGCCCTACCCCATCTCCACTTATACTGCCTCCCTTATTAGCACCTACTCACCTGTAATCTCTCACTACCCCACCACCACCTACTCACCTGCACTCTCCCACCACCACCTACTCACCTGCACTCTCCCACCACCACCGCCTCCTACTCACCATTACTCTCCCACCACCACCTATTCACCTTCACTCTCCCACCCCACATCCGTCCACCTTTCCTCACCTGCACTCTTTATCTCCAGTCAGATTATAGATCTGTTGATCAAGTGGATGCAAGAGCTTATGAACGCCATCACACTAGGCAACTTCTGGCCGGAAATTGTCGCCTTCCAAGCGTTGACGTTCGCCACAGAGAATGCTGGGCTGGAAAGGGCGAACGGCGCCATCTTCTTCACCAAAGGTAAAAAAAAAAAAAACTGTTGATATTCACGCATTAGCGTTGGGTGCTATTGATTAAGAATTGGGTTGATACCAAGAGTAATATTTTGCACCGAGGTATCGCCTGATTAGCCAGTGGTTCTCGAATTATCATGAATCTCGTATGGCTTCTCCCTACCCTGACTATATCGAAGATTGCTCACCCCCCGCCCATCTCTTTTACTGCACAAAATAATGTAATCTAAACAATAAAATGATTTATAAACACCTCAACTAGTGTTTCATGATACACAGGCCCCGGTTTAACCATTGGGCGAACTAGGCGGGCGCCTAGGGCGGCAAATTTTTAGGAGGCGGCACTACTAATTAAATAATTAGTAGCCGTGGGCGTTGGAGGGGGGGCGCGCAGTGCGACAGGTTCGCCTAGGGTGCCAAATACTCTGGCGCCGGCTCTGATTATGCATTAAATACGTCACATCAATAAAAAAAATTTTAAAAAAGTTTTTCAAACGTTATTTTGGGGTTTGTTATATCAAAGGGAACATGGTACACTAATATATATATCAAACATAGATCTAACAATACGTGAGAAATTCAGAACCGTTTAATGTCCAGACGCTTGTGACTACTAGGGGATTAGCTTAATCCAAGGTCTCGAATGACAAACTGGGCTTTGTACTTGACCGTGTTCAAAAGAAACTGTGTACAGGGAAGGTCTTGAAAGTGTTACGACAAAGTGTTTAAATTCCTTTTGTTCTTTGAGTTACTGGCATCAAAGGCTTACACATTCTTAGTGCCCCAGGTTTTGTTCATCTGAAGGGCTTACACCTTCTTAGTGCCCCCAGGCATTGTTCAGTTGAATGGCTTACACATTCTTAGTGCCCAAGGCATTGTTCATTTGAAGGTCTTACACCTTCTTAGTACCCCACGTATTGTTCATTTGAAGGTCTTACACCTTCTTAGTACCCCACGTATTGTTCAGTTAAACGGCTTATACCTTCTTAGTGCCCCAGGTATTGTCCATTTGAAGGGCTAACCCCTTCTTAGTGCCCCCAGGCATTGTTCAGTTATATATATATATATTATATCTATATATATAAACTATAAACATACATTTAAACACTAATACATCTCTCCATCTTTCTCACAGTCTGATTGTGTTTCTCTTCGTCTTTTTAAACTTAAACGACTGGACTAAACCTTCCAAAACAAACTTTATATAGAAACAAGTCTATTTTTAAACTCGGCGAGTCTTCAATCAGTAGACTGTTATTTGCCCCTCCCCCCCCCCCCCTTGGGTTTTTTATTTTTAAACTTAAACCACTGGACTAAACCTTCCAAAACAAACTTTATATAGAAACAAGTCTTTTTTTAAACCCGGCGGGTCTTCAATCATTAGGCTGTTTTTTGCCCCCCCCCCCCCCCCCCTTTTGGGTTTTTTGCCGATTTCAGGATTTGTGTCCTGGGACAAACTGGCAGACTATATGGTGTACCTGGTCAGAGGGCGTCAGAACCTGGTACAGGCCGCAGAGTTTTCAAGTCTCGTCTCTCGTCGCGTCAAGCAAGCAGACTTCGTGGACATGATTGATAAACTTCAGGGCTTCCGGTCACTCATCTACAGCAACGGTACGGTGAATGGGACGGTGGTCAAGTGGGACCCCGTGGGGGAGGCGAGGGCTTGGATGGGAAACATTACAGGTTTTATCGACACTCTACATCACATACAGGTGAGGAAATAAAACACAAAGAGTCGCATAAAAAAGATTTTAAAATTTAAAATATTTATTTCATAATCATTCAATGCAATTAAATGATTGTTTATTTTATTTTAATTAACTTTTTTCTTAAATCGAAAAGAACGTTTGAAAATAAGCAATGAACAATCCCCCAATTTTTTTAAATTGCAAAATAGTTTGCGTTTTTTTGTATGAACAAAATGTTCATATTAAAGTTATTTGTCTAAAGTTTTTCATCGCGATTTAACACATACGCAAATGACAGGTTGATCGCCACTAAAATATTTTTTTTTAAAGATACAGATATGTCTTTCAATAGGAAATTCATTTATCTGTACCATAATTTTTTTTCATAAATCTTTCTTGGTAACAACCATGGGCGCCCGCAGGTAGGGGCAAGGTGGGGCACTTGCCCCCCCCCCCTGGATTGATTGGATACAAAAATTTTAGACAAAAATAGACAAAAAATGTATTAAAGTAAAGAGAAAATAAAGAGAAAGTAACTAAGCTGATGTCCTGTCCGTTCGTTCACCAAAACAAATACGCTATAGTAAATTAAAACTACATTAAAACATTACTAAAAAAAATTTTGCCCCCCCCCTGGAAAGTTAATCGATTTTTTTTGCCCCCCCCCCTCCTAGAAAGTTTTCTGCGGGCGCCCATGGTACCAACACGTCGGTCCCCCGTCGACATCCGACATTGGCTTTATGAAACTTATACTGTCTAGATTTGAAATACAAATCCTGTTCACGGGATTCTCTAGCATCGACTTTGTTTCGGAACTACATTTCCCGCCAACTTTTGGTCTGTTTATATTTTCTTTCAGGACGATCTTGGCGCAGAGATTTTATCCGATACTCTCTACTCGTCTTCGGCACAGCGGAAGTCCACGACCTTCAGTTCCTGTTTGTTGGTGGTGGAGTTTTTTGTGTACCCTGTCTTCATTTTTCTGACACTTAGACTCACCAACAGGTCAGTGATGTGACGACAAGCTATCTGACAAGCTGCCTGAAGACAAGTTATCTGACGACAAGCTATCTGACGACAAACTAATGACGACAAGCTATCTGAAAAGTTATCTGAAGACAAGTTATCTGACCACAAGCTATCGATGTCTGAAATCGATAGAACAAATCTGGGCGGGTGTGATAGTCCCCCTGTGATGATTTGATCCAGCTGGTGCGAGGTGGTATTTCAGAGGGTGCGAGGTGGCATTTTAGAGGGTGTGAGGTGGCATTTCAGAGGGTGAGAAAAATATGGATTATAAGAACAGATGACAAATTAGCTTAAATTTTTTTTTTAAATGTTTATATATGCATAAACACTACTTCATTGATAGTTCCTTTTATTTTCTAGGTTCTTGAGTACTTTTGTACAATTCAATAAACACATGATCAGTCTATTGTATGTGTAGGGGAGCCAGACTTACTGAATCAACGTGTGGTAGTTGTGAAAATAGTCCCAAAAAAAACCCCGTAGGGGGTGCGGGGCTGGGGGGGGGGAGTGATACACGTATTTAAACACTGCTGCCGTCGATAACATTGGATAGGCTTATAATGTAAATAAATACACAAATATCACAGCATGTAGTTAATGCACGGTGCTTAAAAATATGCTCTCAACACTTCTCTGCTGCTGGACCATCAAGCCAAATCACATGACACAATTTGATGTCTTTGATCCCCCTTTCTCCACCCTTGCCGTTCAAGCCTATTGGCCGTGACCTGATTCTCCTCTGAATGGTCCCCCGCTTTTAACTTAACCCCATCGCACGATTAATTTGAAATAGCTTTTCGCTTACCTGAGGGATGTGTGCTGGTGCGGACAGATATCGATTTCCGTAGTGACTGTTGAAAACCTGTGCTATGTCCTCCCCCCCACCCCCCCCCCCCCCCCCAAGAGGCGCTCGAGATAAGCTTTTTAACATTTGTTGAATTAGATAGCTTCCGTACTTGCCAAAACTTTTAAAAAATTAATAATATTCAAATGATGTATCATTGAAATGAAAACTGTAATCTGAACTTATACTGAAGCAGCTTGGTCACATGACATCAGACAAAATTTCTCAGATTTATTTATCAGTGTGTGCGTTTGTAGGTTTTTTTTTTTTTAAATGTATGTCCTATGTGATATGTTTAAATCAGGATTCTTAGAAGAATTTTAAGAAATATAATTTAAGCTAATTTGACGGTTTTACTTAAACAAAACTTATTGTTGTCGTTTTTTTTTCTTGTTTTTTTCTCTTCTTTTTCTTTCTTCTGTTAAATTATTATATATTAAAGCGTGATATTCTATTGTATTGATTTTCTCTTTCATGATTGTCTTCATCTTTCTGTTGCATGATTCCCCCCCCCCCTGATTCATTGCCTCATTATTACGTTTCTATCTACAGTGTCTGTTTTTATTTACTCGTGATTATCTTTGCATAGCTGCTCCATATTTACAGTCCAACCGCCAAACCCTTAATCGCTGGAACTAATTTCAGTGTTAAAACAGGTTTCTTCCAGGGGCGTCATTTCCGGTCTTTTCCAGGGTGGGTGGGTGTGGGGACACCAAAACTTGTTCAGCTTTTTAAGTTGTTAAGGCGTCACAGTACACAGCAATTTAAATAAAACCTTGAAATTCAGGGGGGGGGGGAGGAGGGATCAAATGCTGCACCCTTCCCTACCCAAATAAGGCGTCACAGTACACAGCAATTTAAATAAAACCTTGAAATTCAGGGGGGGGGGGAGGAGGGATCAAATGCTGCACCCTTCCCTACCCAAATGACGTCCCTGGTTTCATCTAACTTATAAAGAAGACTACGTTTCGTTTTTAGTTGGTGCACCACACATTTTAACCCCATCTGTGTTTTGTCAAGGGTTAAAGACTATTCCAAGAAGTTGGCCGAGAGATTAAAGATCCTCGCCCGCGAGCAGCGCCGAAACGCGACGCTGGTCAAGGAGATGTACCCAGCGTCTGTAGCGGCCAGGTAAGTGTTGCAACTGTGGTTCCTTCCCAAACTGTTGGCCGTGTGCTGTTAAAAGATGAAACGTCTGAACCGATGCAAACGGTGGGGGGCTCTCCTGATTTAAAATGTAATCGCTTGCATCGGAGTGAGAACCGTGAAACTAAATTGTGAGACGACAGTCGTAACTTCCAAGAAATTGTTAACACTAATATTTAAATGTTAACATTATTGACGTGATCGCTCTTCTTTTTTTAAAATCTTAAGTTTTTCTTAAATCATTATAACTTTATTTGCCGGTATTGAAGTCATATGTACCATGGAGTCATATACCCGGAAACGCTGGAGTCATTTACCTGAAG